CCTGAGAAACCCAGTAAGTGCAGTAATCCGAACATGCATCTTCAACAATTAAGGGCGTCCGTGTCCTACAATGCACTCCTTGCCTTGTTAATCAGGTTTTGACATTCTTTTTTCCATCATAATTAAGCAGATAGAGAGGGGGCCAGGAATTATGGGCACCGGAACCTTAAATCAAGGACAAGTGCTATGTAACAAACAACCTTTGACGAGGTTGAACTCAAGATGGTATCATGCTTGTTAATCATTCTCCTTGTCTTGTCAGTTGTTTTTCTCTAGTTGCTCAACTGTTCTTTAGTTATAACAATATTTGGTGAACATTATATCAGGGCTCGATACCTCAAAAGCTCTCCACCCAATGTCCATGATTTGCGATGTGCCCCCAACTCCAACTCCTTGCCCTATGGCCCTGCTATTCATAGGTAAGTAGAATGTGTTGTTATGTTGGCAGTTACTTGCACTCATTCGATTCACACCTTAATATATGTCAAGGGCATTGATTCATTGACACTTTACTACTTAGGCGACAGGAATTCGATCCTCTGTCGGCACAAGGCAGCCTTGTCCCCGCGACGCAACATATTTTTGATCTGCTGAACTCCACACAGCCTCCCCCCCAACGTATTCCAGGTACCTGTTCTATATTTCCAACCTTACAAGTACGTACTTGTTGCATCAATTAAACATAAAATGATTGTATCTTGTTATTCAAGGCCGGAGTCATGCTCAAATTATCAGTCCACTACTTCGCCTGCTGTGAATCCCAGTGCTTATGATCATCAACTGGCTCAGAGACCTATGCTGCCTGAACCTGCTGTTTCTACCAGGTAATTTAATATTTTCAATAATCTTGTGAATATTAAGCTGATTTAACTCTTAGTTGATCATCTAAGCCACCGCCTGAATTTTCTTATTGATTTTTTTTTTTTTTGGACGAAGGCCTGCAATATTGTCCCCTAATTATCATCCACAACCCGCAATCACCTTCAATCCTTTTGGAGTCGGACCTTCAGTGCCTCAAAGGTATCAAGTCTCTTACTTGTTATTTGCCACTCGAATGCGTCCTTTTGTTGCATACATGAACACATTATTCATGTTAAATATATTTCGCAAAATAGGTATCCCGATATACATGATTATCAAAGGAACTATCTCCATTCCCAACACATGATGTCTCGTAGTTTTGCACAGCAACAAGCTCTTGGCTTAGCCCCACTTTCTGGGTAAGCAGCCTCTTTAATCTGCCGAAATGCTCATCATTTATCTACAATATTTGTTCGTCTTTCATGATTTAACAGGGGATAAGGATAAACGGATAGTTAGTTTTTCTCTCATATAATTAGACTAAACTTGACTTATTCGATCTGTTATTGGAAGATGCATATTCATTTGTGTAAATACATCGGATAAGAAGTAATAAAACAAGTCAGCACTTTCCTTTTCATTCTTTTTTCTTTCCCCGTCTCTTGCGGCTCTGATACTATCATTCATTTGATATCAAATTTAGGTCACCGCTAACGTCGGATAACAGTAACGAAAACAGCCAGCTATGGAGTAGACCCACTATACTGGGGCTGAGCTCCCCATTTCTTGGACCTCCAATTCTGCCCAGGATCCCAGTTTCAAATGTACAAAGTCCAACGATGGTGGAACCTTCCCAGCCTATCAGTATCACACCTGACGCGTCTAATCCATCATCACTTCTTGGCTTTAAAACTCCTGAGCTCTCCAGGCAGCTTCCATGGTATCTGCTTTTTCAGTTGTGATGTATAGGCTTTGATTACTTTAATGCTACTAACACGTCACGTTATGTTTGGTTATTAGAAAAAAAATGAAAATAAAATTGGTATAAAAGAGGGAAGTAATTTAGTTAATTAGTTCAATTAAAAATCAATTTATAAAATTTTTAATAGGTGTGATGATTTCTACAATTATAATATATATTAATGAGTTTTATCATACTTATCAAAAGAAAGGAGGATGATTTAGTCTATTTTTGTGTCAATTTTTTTAATTCATTTTTTTAGTTTAATCTTTGAATAATTCTTCATGTAGGATTCCAAACAGCTCAGGTATTCCGTTGCAGAACGTGGCCCCTGCTTCTACAAATATATTCAGTGCAAATCCAAGCAGTGGAAATTTGGCGACTCCTTCGCCATCCACCAGGTAAAATACTTGAAATTGAATTACATGTAATCTTTTTAGGCATTTCACGTGTTTGATATTCTTATTTATCGGGATGAAATGTTGAATAGGCCACAAATTAGCAATCGGGTTCGCAGAATACTGGAATTGGGTTCTAACCCTAAGGGCCCTAAACCAAAGGGCGCTTCCTCTTATGGTCAAAAAGCTGGAAAGTCACGCAAGTCTGCCTCCCGAACGAAAGCCAACCAGATTCGAATTCCAGAGTTCCAAGATCCAGTGGTAAGAATTTCCATCGCTTTTGTTAGTAGTACTTATTATTTTTAATCAACTCCGCCATTTTAGAATGCAATGATGTACGATTTATCAATAACAACATCACTGACAGGAAACATGGATCAAAGATCTGGAGACGGAACTGAACAGGGCCTGGAATCAACCACAGCCCACCAAGGTGAACTTCAACTTCACTTAAAGTAGAGGAACAAAGCAAGGTTTGTTGTAAAATATGAAGTTTGTTTCTACGATTAATTTATGAAATTGTGGTCGCTTGTAGAAAAAAGCAGCGCCTCGATCTGGTCGTGGTGCTTCCGGACGACATGAAACAGGGGAATCATCTTCTAAACGCCGAAAGGTATCCTAAATATGGTTTTGTCTTCGTCGGAGATTCTTGTATGAACCTATAATGACATTTCCTGAGTCGATTGGGTTTCTTTGGGTGGTTGCAGGGTCAGTCAGCCGAGAAAGAAAAAGAAGATGCACGCCCTGTTTTCGATCATGCACCAAACAGTGGTGAACATGTGAATGTGTTCCAGGACGCCAACGCCGCAGAACTCTCCGGCGCAAGGTTGTTCTCTCGCGATTAGCAAATAAAGGATAAAGAATCAGCTGCTAGCTGCTATTCTCTCTGGTTTTTTTCTTCATGATTCACCATGAGTTGTGCATTTAACTCTTTAACCGAATAGTCCGCAATAAATGAAAACGTTCGCGGTTATGGTTTTTCAGGGATGATGGGAATACTGCCTATGAAATGCATTATCAGGATAGGGGGGTTCCCATGGACCCCCATATTAGGTTTTACAGGACAGTAGGTACTCAACAGTTACAGTTTTTAGCATCTGATATCGGAGAATGAATAGATTTACTTGATATTTTTGCGTTAGAATTTGCCGGATGGTAACAATTTTGATGCTATCATTCTCAGTGAGGAGAAATCGTGGATAGAGAGAAGTGACAGTGTACCCGGATTCTCAGGAGTCAGGAGACAGGAGCAAGCGGAGCTGATGTGGATTATGGTTTTTCGTTCAATTTCCAGAGACAGGGTTATTACCAGCTCTTCAGATTTTCCTTAGGCTAGAAAAATAAGAATCGCATAGAAACTTTCAGTTTTACAGGTAGATTTGGATGCTCTATTGTACAGTTTGCTATCTTTTAACCGAACAAGTAATGGCATTATCTGGCTAATCTATAATTGTCTTCATCTGCTTATTCTATATTTGACAAATACGTTCGTTCCGTAAATCAAAACATACACATACTCACATCCTGTCCCGGTGAACAACGTCAATCTTCACTTGCATCAGAGCCCGCATCTAAATTATCCTTCCTGCTTCTGCTGCATAAATGCAGAGCTCTCATTCGTACGTTTAAGTCTGAAAGATGATGATAATAATAATAATAATGCGCATAAAGATGAATCATCCCAGAAAGCAAAGTTACCAAAATGTTTTCTCTAAAAATAAAAATTTTGAATGGATTATGTTCACAGTGCATTCACAAGTACTATTTCCCCACTGAATCAGGTTGCCAACAACTTGACCTTCCAAAACGATAAAAAAAAGAAAACAGAAAAAAATGTAAAAGAAAAAAAAGCATTTATAATTATAATATTCTATAATGATGTGTTTGGTTGAAGAGAGGGGATAGAAGGAGGGATTTTAACGGGAAAGGGGAAGAAATATAGCTGATGATCCTTAATTTGAATTGATTAGAGGCCTAGAGGGGAGGGGAAACTAATAAATTGACATTTTTTTCCTATAAAATATATAAGTTAGTTTTTATTTTTTTTATTTTTTTGATTTGATATATAAATAAAAAACAATTATATTACAATTTATTTAATGATATTTTCATGGATGTGTCTAAAGGTCAAAAATACTCAACATATAAATGATTTTATAAGATGATAAAATGATCTAGAAACGGATGATTTGGCCTATTAAAATATTTTCTTCCTCGAAAAAAAAATTCCAAATGGAAGGGGAGGGACTGGAATGGAAAGTTGCTCTCCTTCCCCTCAATTAAATAGCAACCATAAAAGGCAGCGAATCGAACTTCTCTTAGCTTCACTCCCTCCAAAAATCTCTAGCCAGACTCGCCATGGATGAGAAGCCTGGCCCTCCCAGTTATGAGAAAGTTTGCTATCTTTAGGATGTATGAAAAGGCTAGGAGGGAATATGATAGAATTCTGGAGTTTCTCTTTTGTCTTCACTTGGCAGAAGCTTGTGCTTCTCAATTTAACCATCAGCGAATCAACTTCTCTTAGTTTTCCCAGGCAATGGTTTATAAGTTTGCTATCGGATGTGCTAATATGGAAATTGCTTGATCATTAGTTAGGGCGGCTTCCAAATTTTGATTCGGATACAAACTTAGTTGATACGAGTAAGTTTTTAAAAACATACTCTATTTAAATATGTGCAAAATTTTGATACAAAATAATGTATAATTAATATTGGATGGATTTTGGATTCTAAATTCTAATAGAATACTGCACTGGATGAAATCTAGTTGTACTAATGATGCGAAACGTAATGACAAATCTGATTTAAATTATTTACTTTTCCGGGGTAAGGTTTAAAATATTTAAAGATGAAATGAACTCATTGTCATAACTAAATATTGTCGAAAGCCTAATTGAATCGAGGCATTCATTTTTAAGGCCCAAATTTAATTTTGGATCTACACGGAGGCTGATGGACCCCATGAAGCAGAGCATATTCATGAATTATGGATACAGATAACAGACCGTCACTGATGTTAACGCCCGCGCTCAAGGGGCCAAAAATTTAGTAGACCCACACGCGTCAACAGCTTCACCCACTGTAAGGAAAACCCTTTCTTCTCCGATCTTCTCCACAAATTGCGCCACTTTCAGCTTGTGAATGACTTGCCACCTTGGGTTCACCATAACTAGCTGCATATACATTAAAAACACATTTGCCGCATCTGTTAAATATGTTATAGCTTATTGCTGAATCAGTATCAATCTGTCACGAGCAAGCTAATATATTCATGGCGGTCTCACCTCCACGCCACGGGATTGCAACCTCCTGTGCAGCTCCTCCATTGCCAAAATTCCAGAAGTATCCACGTTCATCAGGTCTATCATCAACACAAATCCAAGGTGTCATCCCCCCATCTTCATTCCATCACGCTCATTATAATTAAAAAAGATAGGTGACATTTATTAATACGTCCTAATTAGAAGGACAGAGGAGGCTCACTCGTCATGTCCAGGATCACTGCGCGCACCCTTGCTTGTTGAGTCTTATCTTCTTCTGTGACCCATTTCAGTATTCTGCAACAAGTGACCAAATTCATAGAGACATATTCAAATAAAGAAAGAATTCCAATTTGCAACGGATGTAGTTTCCCTAAATTGAATATATTTTGGAAAGTGCTTACCTTTCTCCGACGAAGTTTGCATTTGCGAAGCAAAGTGAGCCAGAGCTTATGCGAATAACAGAGATGCCAGGAGTGCTTATGGCCATGGGATATTGACTAACATCACAAAATGCTTCTGTCCTTGGAACTCTGCCCAGAACTTCTATTCCAGGTCGAATTGATTGTATCAGTATCTTTGCAAACGAGATGATTACCTGCCTCAAAACAAAAATCCTCCAACTCTTACTCCATTTATTTGTGCTTATATGCATGGTATACCCTTTTTTTTTTTTTTTGGACAACGGGGATGAAAATGGTGAGGAACTCACGGCAACAAGAAGCCCAGTCTCTACTGATTTAAACAAGACGCCGAGGAAAGCACCTATGCAGGCAAGAAAGTCGAATTTGTCAACCTTCCATATGTGATAAACTTCGTTTATGTCAATAAGTCCGGGAAGGGCCGAAATGATGATGGAAGCAAGTATAGCCACTGGAGTGTAGTACAAGAGCCTCGTAAGCAATTCTAGAGACACGAGCACGGTGACTGCCATCACAATGTTTGATATGGCCGTTTGACATCCTGCACTGAAATTCACTGCAGTCCTTGAGAAAGATCCTGCAAGTAGTGTTCATCAAGAGAACTGTTAAAATTTTCGTACTCGATCATTGAACAGCTATCAAGTACTTCTCTGCAGAAACGCATCAGCAAAAGAAGTCAGTCACCAGTTGCCACATAGCATGAAGTTAAAGAGCCTGCGATGTTCGTGAACCCCATTGCTAGCATTTCTTTGTTGCCATCAAGATTGTAACCTTTAATGGAAGCGAAAGATCGGCCGACAGCTATAGATTCCTGAATCCAATGTATAGATTACCGTGAGGAAGAAGGAACGAACAAAAAAAAAATGAAGATTTCAGAATTTGGACAAGATTAATTAGGAAATGAATTAACTCACAGTGAGAGCAATGACGGCGGAAATCAAGCCAATTTTAGCTGTCTGTCCAACTTGTTGGCCCTGAAATTGTAAAAGGTGAGCTGAACTTGGATTCAGGCCTCCTTTGACGCGCTTTATTATATTAACCCCGTGCTTATCGGCTCTTGTCAAATATACAATCAAAGTTGATAGTATAACCGATAGAAGAGGAGAAATAGCCGGCAACCAGAAAAACTTTTTGCTTCTTCTTCCCTGAAAGAGAGAGAGAAATTATCAATAGAGCAAAATAACCACTAAACTGATGTGTTGTACTTGCTGGAGTTTGGATATCATAATTTTTTTTACTTACAACAAGCCGGCTAATGAGAAGGAAAACCATGAACGAGCATCCCACGACAAAATTCCAAGGGTGCCACTGTTGGTAAAATAAGGGATTAAAAATGATGTCAAATATGTAACATGTTCTATATATGAGTATGACAGATATCTGTAAAATGCTATCTCGAGACAAACTACAAGTTTCCAAATTTTCTTATAGTAAAAACTCACTTTATCTGCAGAACCTGAGGTGATCTGTTGATGAAGTGACTTATAAACGGACTCCAAAACAGATACTGCATCAGTTTTGTTGGTGAAGTGTGTGATCCCCAGCAACCCCTTGAGTTGCTGAAGACCAATCATGATCGCCGCACCTGCCATGAATCCAACCAACGCGGCATGGGAAAGAAAATCCACAAGAAATCCCAACCTGGAAATGAGGGAGATCAGTCAATGCTCCGCTCACTAGAAAAACTACACAGATCTACAGAAGAATTTGACATGCAGATAAAAAAAGCACCTAAAAATTCCAAATGTTGCTTGAAACATTCCGGCAAAGAAGGTCACTGTGAAGGCAAGGTTTCTGTAGGCATCGGGGTTGGCAACGGGATCTTGCACTTGCGAGAGCAGGGAAGATAGCAGCAATGATACTACGGCCACTGGCCCAATTGCAATTTCTCTTGAACTCCCCATGACAGCATAGATAAGAGGAGGAACTACACTTGTATCTGTTGAATCCAACAAATCCAACATTGACATTTGAAAGAGCACAATTTATATCAGAAAATGTTTGGAGCTTGAAAAGTTCTCTTGCTTTCTTTAGCGTGACATCAGTTTTTACTTTTTAATATGATACTTACACAGGCCATATTGGGGATCAAGTCTTGCCAAAGTAGCATATCCTATGCTCTGCGAAATTCAAATAGAAAATGAAGGGGGAAAGAAAACTGCTTCATTGCTTTTAAAACAGAAGAAAAATTTGTGAGTACCTGAGGTATGCTGAGGCTGGCAAGAGTTAAACCAGCTAGCAGATCATCTTTGAACTTAGAGGCTTTATAGTCTCTTAACCAACCAAGGATTGGGAATAAGTTCAGAAAGAAGGAAGCAACTTGTCTGCGGAAAACTTTGTTCTTGGATGAAGAAAAGAGGCTGTTTCCACGAAGCAAGACGGCCTCCTTTAGATTGAACAGCTTAATCCAGAGAGGTGGCGGGCTAGGTGAATTTAATATCCACTGGGACCTCTCTGCCTGACCAGTGTCCTCGAGATGAGGTGGCCCTGCTGAAGGTGGCCCTGCTCTCTCATGGTGGAAACTTGAGCAGGTACTGAACCAGTGTAGGTGTTAATCTGAAGTGTTTGGGCAAACTCTTGGAGATTATATTAAATGTGGATTCATGTCAGTTAAGTAGCATCTCCACAAAGTAATTGAGGAGTCTATTTATTCCAAGGAATGCATTAAAGGGGCTACAATAGAGGCCTCTCTGCAGAGCAGGATAGCTGCAGTACCACTATGACTGGCTAAGGTCAAAAGTTGGAACTTGCTGGGAATCAGTATAAGTGCTGTCTTTATATATCTGCCCCCATGAGAGAGCATCTAAGTTTTTAGCTTCAGGTTGCTTGGGCAAATCCCATTTTTGACATCGTTTTCCTTCAATTGTCTTCTAGTGAAAGCAAAAATTTAGTCAATTATATGCCCGCCCAATAAAATTAAGCTAATCATTATTGTCAGGATTTCAATATTTTATTTAAGAATTTCACGTTGAGCTGAACTACCGAATCATAGATAGTTGTTTTATATCTAAACTGAAATAAGAAATTAGATTTAGATCAATTGAAACGAATAATTGAAACCGGGTCAACATTAATTTCGTATGATCATGTACAAGCCACACGTTTTCTGCTTGGCTACTGATGGTAGCACATTAATCCAACAAACAAGTCATAATAACCTTGTTTCTACTTGATACGTACTAACATTTTTATAGAATCCGCGAAAGGGTCAGTGCTTGTTCGCGGTTGAATCAACCCAATCTAATTATTTTCACGGTTTCACCCACCCTCAGGATCTTGCGAAAACTTGTGGGAAATAAGGAATAAAGGAAGCTTAATGGTCGCAGCAAGCCCCAATACATCCTATGCTTCTTATGACTTGACACCCCCCCCCAAAAAAAAAAAAAAAAAAGATTGTTATGATCAAAACGCGATAACAACACAAAATATTGAAATCAAACTATTCCTGGCTTTGGTTTGCCCTGTACATGATCGCTTAAATGCCAAGCATTCCATATGCAACCTATTAGGGAAATGCAAAAAGAATATAATCCAGGGGACACAAAAAGATCGTGGGCAATATGCGGAAGGTGCAGAGACACATGCTTTATTTTATGTATTTGATCGTGGGCAATGTGTCAAGGATCTAAATATATATTTCTCCCACCATTTTAAATTATAATATAAAAAAAAAATTTAATATCTCAAAATATAAAATATTTTAATAAAAATAAAAATTTCTTAATGATAGTTTTCTAATATTATTTTTTTATAAAGTCTTTCTTTAATATTTTTTTTATAAATGAAGTATTAAATGAAGATTATTTTTAAAATTTTATATTTATGTTTAAAAAATTAAAATTATAAAATAAATTTAATACATTTTATTGGTATGTGTAATTTTATAGTATAAAAGTATTTTATAATTTAAAATTGATGAAGTATTGCATTACTTGAATCATGGTGAGAAAAGTCTCTCAACTTATCATAAATTTGGAAAGAGGCAGCGGGCGTAATTTCGTAAAACCCACTTCCTCCCATCTTTTATTGTAGGGCACGCATTCTAAAAAGATTTATTAAATCTTTTATATAAGTAATTTTACAAAAATTTATGTAGCATTAGTTATTTTATTTTAAACATGTGCCTCTTCTCAATTTGCAGCCACGGGATAAAAATATTTGTTTTTAAAATTCAAGGTTTATTTCCAGAAACGTACTAGAAAAAGAAGGAATTCAAAACGTGCTTTTCATTCGTTTCATGAATAAGTGACTACAATCGTCCTTTTCTTCCACAATCAATCTCAATTCAAATTAGTCTAGAAATGAAAAATCTCAATTTACATCCACCGTTAATGGTGGAAGAACTCAAGCTTCAAAAGAGAGCCGACTAGGTCTAATGAAAACCTCGACAAGCAAAGAGAAGATCGAGGGGCCTGATGATGGAGAGAAGAGTGAAGGGGAGAAGAGGCTTGACAGAACCAAAGAAGGAGAGGTAGTCCTCTGGAAGTGGTGAAGGGATGATGAGAGGTCCCTGGCAGTGGTGTGGACGATGGACGATGAAAGACGATGGGAATCTTAGGCATAGAAGTCAAAGGAACATAATGTGTATTTGTTCTTTTTTATTTTTTTATTTTAAAAAATGCCACATGATTGTCATCTTGACATTTAACAGCAAAATAATGATTAACATTGATGATAGGATGATATTTTATTTTTTTTTAAATTATATATAATATAAAGGATTTAGAAATTGAATGTCTTCAGATTTTAAATTAAAATGTAATGTGATATTCACTTATATATGAGATGTTTTGTGGGCTAACATGTAAATTAATAATTGCAAATAAAGAAAAAAATATATGATGATGTTAACATGTCTAATTTATTAATTATATAATTGAGGAAAATTATCATCATGTCTTAAATAAGAAAAATAATTATTTTTCAACTTATTTACATATCAAATTTCAATATTTACAAGTGATTATGATCTATAAGTAATTAATTTTGTATATGATACTTATATAATGTTCCTTGTATTCATTAATTATATAATTAAGGAAAAATTACCATCATGTCTCAAATAAGAAAAATAATTAATTTTTAACTTGTTCACCTATCAAATTTCAGTAGTTACAAGTGCCTGTGACTTACTCTCTCCAAATCACAATATAAATTATCTTTTAAAAATTTTGCTTCATTCAAAATAAAAGAAATTGAATAGGTGTTGTTTGTGTGTGTATTTCTAATTACACTCTTATTTTGTCGAGTAATTGATGAAAATATTTTAAATAAATCAAATGCTATATTTATTACACTTATGAAGTGATCGAAAAGATGTAAAAAAATTTTAAAAATTAAGGATTTTAATCATTTTTGTATTGAAACATAAATTAGTTAATAATAATTTATGTTGTGACTTGGGGAAGTATAAATAATTAATTTTTTATATGATATTATATATAACTTTCCTTGTTATTTTTTTTTGGTAAAATAATTTTCCCTGTCACTAAATGCTAGTGCTAAAACCTAACCTATCTAGTTCGGAATCATACATAGAAACCTTGAAGAGATTCCACGTAATTGAATACCTTGAAGTGTAGATGAAGCAACGTCTGTCTGTCGAGATTCCACGAGATAGTTGAGAAAAAGAGTCTGCTAACTATGACACGAAGGGTGAGGTTGTATATAATTTCTGTGAGTTATTCAGTTTCACCCAATGTTGTCGTCGCCTTTTCATATGGTCTCCTTGACGGGGATAACCCAACTTCGGCCATTTCCTAGCTCCTTTAATTTTGATGAGAAAAAGCACAGACAATTACATGTCAGAGTTGAAACAAAAGAAAGTTTAAACATAAATAGGACGGCAAAAAGATCATGAAGCGTTGGGACCAAAGACCTAAGCTTCCCCATATTTTCACTATTTATTTGGGTGTGTATATGTTGATTAATAGGGGCAAGAACAAGGATAACTTGAAGTATGAGGACTAGTGCGAAAGAATTAGATGGAAAGCCATGAATAACTTGAAGTATGCACATAGATCAACACAAGAATAATGCCCTGTTTGGTGCGGGCAAATGTTTTTGATGAAAGTGAAAGTAGGGTATAAAAGTATGTTTGGTATGCAGATAAAAGTAAAATATAAATTATATTTAATAAATATAGTAATATTCTAAAAAGGCTAAAATACCCTTAAAATTAAAAACTTTTTTATGTTCATTGCCTGCCTTCATTGTTCATCTCCACCAATAAACACTCCACTAGATCTCAAAATACCCAAACAATAAACCCACCAAATCTTAGGATTTTTTTCCATAAAATGTTAAAAATGGAGAATCAAAAATCTAAGTTGAAGATAAACACCAAAGTCAAAGAATAAAAAATCAAAGATTTGTAAAATTTTGCAGACATAATTTTCTTCTAATAGCACTGTAGATGCACGTATCTATTCATTCAATTAATCTACAGCCTTTACTATCAATAGACTTGAAAGAGTAGTCCTAGAATCGCAAAACACGTGCTGATCATCCCTTCTCTATCAAATTAGAGAGAGAGAGAGAGAGACTTGTTTATAGAAGTTGAATCAGATCGAGAAATAGAAGTTGTGAACCAAAAATAGAAACAAAAGTATTAGTCAAAAGTGTGAAACTATTAAGTAGAAGTCTTAATTGAAACAAAAATCAAGAATCCTGAATCAAAAATCAAATTGAGAAGTAAAAGTCAAATCATGCTTAAATGATCTAGAAGTAAAAAATAAAACAAAAACTAAATTGTGCTTGAAGAATGTCAAACTCAAAGAAATATAAATTGAATCAAAAAAATGATTCGTGTAAGGAATTGAATCCAAAATTGAATTGTGCCTTTTTCGCCTTAGTGGGCAAAAGAATTGGATAAGTCAATCGAAAAAATCAATGGCCATCGTTATGGCTGTGATGCACTATCGCCAGTCAAGCACTATCGCATTTGGGTTGTAGTGAGGGGAGAAGCTTGAAAAGCAAATATGGTAAAAGAGGAAGGAAGTGAGGAGAGAACCCAGTTTCATGGACATAAGCGAATAGTTGAGTTCCATTGTTTTTTATGGAGCTGGGTTCCATGGAGAATCGGGTTCCATGATACCAAATAGAGAAAAGTATTGGTTTCACTTTCACTTTCACGTTCACTTCTCCTATGCCAATTTCTCGCTACCAAACGAGCCATAAGCATGTGGATGACGATCATTACAGTGGTGCTGTGACAGCAGGACGCCAAAACAAGACGGCATTTGTATGGAGGAGGGCTCTCGAGGCATCTTCCATGGTCCCCTTTGATTGAACTAATTGATATTCTACTTTGGAAAGACTGGCCGAACCACTATCTCATACAATTCCTGGTCTTGGACCTTACTTTCCCTTCCACATTCTCTCTATTGATGCACTTGTCGTGCTGGTTGTGGGTTCAGAAATCCTGACCCCCTTTGCTTGTCATTTTCAGAAAAGCTGATTATTCCAAACTCATGGTTTACAGGCAGGAGGAGGGCATTGTTCAGATCCCCTTGTAGGTCGAAACTTGGGCTGGAATTGCCATTTTGGAGGGATGTGAATGGCAGTGCCCTGAAATTCAAAGATTCTCGGCAAGGGGAATGATTGCGGCTTGAGTGGAAGTCAACTTCTAAGTGAGTTCGAGTCTGTAAGAAAAGCTGCAGCACCCACCGGAGGAGAGGAAGATTTCACTTGGACGCTGCAAGGGGAGGTTTATATCCACGAAACATCCTCCACAAGAGCGCGCCTGCCTTGTAACTTTTCCCACTCCTTTATTAAATGGCAAGGCCTGATTTAATTAATCACCCTTGCCCGTGGGCAAAGAAAAAGCTGACAGTTTGATGGCCAATTTTTTTTTTTTTAAATCTCCGCCTGATAATAATATATAATAATAATACCCTACTCTTATTTCCTAAATTTATTTCCTTCGAATCAAATATAAAGTATTAATTTCTTAAAAAATGTTAACTAAAATATTAATTTTTAAAATAATTTATACCTTTTTAATTTTATTCGTATTAAATATCTCATATAATTAGTTTAGTCATGATAATTAAAATTTGAATACATTATTTCTAAAATGATTAATAAATAAAAGAGGGATATAATTATAAAAATTATTTAATATTTTATATTTTCAAGTAATATTTTTTATAAATGCCCTATATTATAGTGTGATGGAGTACAGCCTTAGATTATATCACATGGCTCTTGAGATGCCCATATCCGCACGCTTAAATAAATTATCAAAGCAAGTAATTGGTCAATTGCAGCTCACCAAAACCAATCAAATTGAAATATCAATTGACCCGTAATTAATATGACTCATTTATTCATTTCCAGAGTTTTTTTTTATTGAATTCCCAGTTATTTTATATCGGTCATGGAGCTGTTATATTTGTGGTGAATTAGCCTTTTTACTTAAAAGAAGGTACTCGTACATAGTATTCAGGGAGAATTTCAACTACAAATCATGAAAGAGGATATTTACTAGTAGGTTCCAAAAAAAACCTGAAATTTTATTGTAAGACATTGGACTAAATTGAAATAAAATTGGTAGCTAGAAAAATTAAAATGTAATTCTGTAAAATTAACAAGTACTTGATTACTACCTAATTTCACTTGTTAGTTGCTTACTTGTATTTATTAATTCCGTGACTTCATAATCTTAAGAATATCGCCTGTGCATGAATTTTTAATTTCATAACTTTATTTGTTAATTTGTCAACATAAGTTATTAACTGCTTAACTTAATTTGTAAATTTTTTACAAGACTTATTTACTCAATTTAATCAAAAAATATCATTATTAATTATTAATTTTTTTACTTTATTTATTAATTTATTAATATCAATTGTAAATTGTATGCCTTATCAATAATCATATTAGTTCAATCATTTTATTTTACATATAGAATCATTAGTTGTTACTTATCTAACTTTACATGTTAATTTATTAATATCAATTATCAATCATTTTTTTTTCAAAATGACATTTCAATCTTTTTAGTCACTAATTTTATTTCAATTCAGACCAGAAATCCTGCAATAAAATTTTAAATCTTGTTGGGATCCACTATAAATATTTTTCTTCCATGATCTTTACTTGAAACTCTTCTCACTATTTACTTATTAAAAAAGTTTCAAATTTAGTAATTATGCAATACATTAAAAAGATATAAAGTATTGGATGTTTCTAACCAAATTTCTTAAGTTATTTTAATAACATAGACTATCTCAAATACACTTACTATAAAAAAATTTAACACAGTAATGTAGGACAAAAAATAAAAATAAAAATAAAAAAGGACAAAAAAACAAAGGACAAAAAAGGAGGCAAGGCAAAAGGAAGAATAGGGAAAAAATAAAAGACAAAGAAAAATAAGCAAAAGATTTTCTTTTGGCCAAAAAACAAGAGATTAGAACAAGAACCAAAAAAATGTCAATCATGAAATAAAGAAAATAAAAAAAATTAGAGAAAGAAGTCCCACTTATATTAATTAAAAACTACATTTTTTTTCTCATAAATATTTTCTTATGAGAAACAATCATCTTTGACGGCAGGATATTAAATATGCCCTGAAGGAGATTTGAATCTTGATTTACACATTGTAAAAAATTAGCTTTTTTTACTAAACCTAACCCCGTTGGTATATAGTAGGAAGCATAAATATATAAAATTTAGAATGGAAAGTGTCAAAGTGCATAAATATGCATTTAAGGCCTAATATAATTTGAAAACTTTCTACAATTAAAAATATGTTTTAACAAGAAAAGACATATTTGCCCTCCCTCTCTTCATGAATACACAATATAATGTCTATAAATTTTCAACACAATATTTTGTAATGTGCAATTGGTTTTGTGAAAATGATTTGACTTCAAATGTATAAGTTGTGCAAGATAAAAAAAATAACAGAATGTTCATGAATGCATAACACGATATTTGTATAGTACATTTGTTTTGATAAAAATGGTTTAACGTGGAATGAAACGTACAAGTTGTGCAGGATAAAAGAACAATATAATATCCTATAATTGACAACAAAATGTCTGAGGGCAAATATATTTTTTCATTGAAACATTTTTTCACTTAAGGCCATTTGGCCTTTAGAAAAATTTCAAATTATATTAGACTTTAAATGTAAATTGTTGTGTTGGGGGTACTCTAAGTGAGATTCTCTCTTCTTCTTAACTATTACTAAATATATTAAAAATATGACATTATTATTGATTAAGATTCTCCCTTATTCTTAACTATTACTTAATATATAAAAAATATGACATTATTATTGATTGAGGTCAACGCGCGTGCACCCTCAAGTATTTCCTTCAACGTAAGCTATATTATTATATATGCATAAGAGGACAATTTATTTACAGAATCTAATCTGCGTTCTCAATTATCGAGTAAGAGACGTGTGGAGTTCAATTTATATGCATGGAAGTTATTTATAATCTAGTGCGAATAGATTCTCAATTCGAGTTTATATGTGGATTAAGAAGGAACGACATTTTAAAAGGAATTTGGTTTTTAGGTTTTCACTGACCAAAATAATAATAATAATAATAATAATAATAATAATAATAATGTTACAAATGAGAATCAGTATTTTCATTTTTTAATTATTTTCTCCACCGCCGAGCAGTTTGCCAAGCCCCGGTGACAGTGGGTCACACCGTCACAGTCAAACAACTTGCCCTCGTGACGGTCGCGATTTTATTTTTTGGCAGAATTATTTTAAAGTTTCATTCAACCTAATTAATTATTTTTAAATTTATTAACAACTGGTTTTAGTAAAATGGCAATACAACTAAGTGAGATTTGAATGTAATTTATTCTCTCATTTTATTTCTTATGGGTATCTTATTGTTAGAAACAATCATGTTCACTATACGGTCGGTATTAAATGTGGATATTTTTCTTAACAAAATTTTCATTTGTTATATTGTAAGAGATTAATCTTTTTAATTAGGCTCAATTCTTGCTGGTTGCTTGCTTATTTTTTTAAATGATATACTTGATTGATTTATAATATTATGATGGGTTGAAATATGTTAAAGTACAAAATATAACAACAGGGGATAGATAATTGTAAATCATGTCATACATTAAACTGTCATGTTACTTATTTGCATCGTATTTTTGAATAATACTACCTCCATTCAATTTGTAAAACAATTTTGGATAAGATTTTACGTGTTAAAATATAAAACATTTTAATTTATTAAAAATAAAGTTTTAGTAATAATATTTTTTTATTATTATCCTTCTTATTATATTTCATCTCTTTAATATTCTTATATGAATATAGTATTAAATTAAAAATATTTTTTAAAATTTATGTTTTTTAAAAATAAAATTATAAAGTATATTTAAAAAATTATATTTATATGTATAATTTTATGTAAAAATATATTATAAATTATGATAGATGGAATAATTTTTAACTGAGATTAGGATTTTAGGCCTGTCTTTTCTCTCGCGGTGGAAAAGCCAAGGAATTTGATAGAAAATGGAAGGGGGTATCTGAGAATTGTGATGATGAGATCATCCATCCATCGCGTGGTGGAGGACTCCGTGAACCTGGACGGAATACCGGCTTTGATTGACATTTCGAAATTCCCAATTCCTTTACACTTGGGAGGTCGAAGCTAATCCCAATTTCTTTTGGGAAAAGCAATCGCGAGTCCCACTGAAATTGGCTAAATACTTTAAAATCACATGAAATAAAAAAACATTTTTAAAATTTTAAATTTTTAAGAACATGTTTGGTTGCGCCATCCTCTCCCCTCCTTTAGTTAGTAAGGAGGAAGAGAAAATCCCTTATCCTTTAAATCGGGAGAACCTCCTCTCTTTTCTTTTCTTTAAACTAAATAGATCTTAAAATATAAAGAAGTTTAGATATGTAATAGCTAAAAAGCCCTGAATTAATTTGCCTGCACCAATTTGTCCTCTTTCCAACCAAGCACTTCTTTTATCCTTGACTTCATCTCCATCATCGCCGCATCTCCCCCTTCGTCCTTTTCACCGCCCTCCCAAGGAGGTTAACTAATTAAACTGACTTGTTTTTATTTCTGGGTGATGATTGGATAGGTCCGACTGTCCGATTCTTTTATAACATTGCAATTTTCTGGGTGTTTTCTCTCGATAGAAGTCACCCGTAAACTAAATATTATCAACAAAAATTAGTTCCCGAAGAGATCTTGAAAGCCCCAGAGTGTTTTTGGGTAAAAATACTTCTTCTTCTTCTTTTTATCTGGAGAATTTCAGGAACGGGTCTGTTGTAGCGATTAACGAATGTCCGCCCTTGGATCTGTCTCATTCCCTCTCTGTGCCGCCGGGGATGAGTGGTCGCCTGGTCGATCTCTTGATACATATTTCCTTTGCAATCAGCCACGCCAATAAACTTGGTTGGAATTTCCTGATGAATGCAGTACAGTACAATCTTCTTTATCATAGCTTTGTCCGCTTGTTGATTTATGGTAAGTTTTAAAGGGGGCAATCGTGGATTCATTGAACCTGGACGGTCATTGGATCTTTCCGTTTCCTTAGAAGTCACGCGCTCACACCCCTGTGCAATGCATAACACAGAGGATGACAGTTTGATTTTAAAATACTGAATTAATATCAGTTAAATTTTTAACAAATATTTTTAAAAAATATTGATTCAAATTATTATAAATTTAAGAGTTTTGATTATAAATAAGTATTTAAATATTAAATATAATTTACATTGTAACAAAAAATTTTATTTGTAATTGTCATTAATTTATTTTTTTAAGATCTAATTATTATTTTTCCCTGCGTAATATGTAGATTTCATTTATGGTGCTTATTACCAATTAAAAGAAGAGCACAGCCATTGATAGTGGAGGATGGAAATTAAAGCCAGGTCGCAAACTATACCGGGTAACCCTTTTTTTGGGCAGCAAATTGAAATTTTGTTCCTCTTTTTTAATAATCAAATACAGCAACTTTTGCGCGTGCTACTGTCTACTAATTGGTCTCCAATGTCAAATCCAAAGCTCGCTGAGGTGACTGAAAGTGTTGTCCCCCCTTTTTTGATGAGGAATGAAAGTGGGTCTTTGAAAAAGGAAAACGGCCTTAAAAAAAAAAAAAAAATCGAATGGCGAGTTCGGACTTTTTTGACCTTGAATGGTAAGTCAGGACTTCAAAGCCTATAAATTTATCATCTATGTATTTTCATATGAAAGTTACATTGGGATCCCATATTTTGTAAGTAAATTGATACAATATGCAATTTCGTTGATATTGATGATATTATAATATTATTTATAATTTACGAGTAATGCCATGGATTACATATTGCTTGCAAAGGATGGTTAGGAGATAATTATGTTTAAAGTCATTTTTCTTAGTAAAAATTTAAATTTTAGTTTATCAAGATTGTGAGGAATTAGTTCTTTTCACGAAATCTAACCCCTGTTAATTGGATGTCCACAATTTAGCCAACCTGTGAGCTAGAAAACACGCTCTTGGTTTTGTCACACCCAGGCCGGTGGTGATAGGGAAGCTCCTCACAGTGGCTGAGGAGCCTAGCATGATGAACAGTCTCCGCTGAGCTATGGGCTTTGTTCATGCATACAGGGATATTGTTATGCCAAATTAAATATTAATTAATTGTTCGATGGGTTGACAAATTTCATTAATTTCGTCTCTCACTCAATCCAAATTATACGTTTAAATGTATTTGATAATCAACTGAGCAAGTTTCTACTCAACGCATTTCATGAATAATTAGCTAGCTTCAATCACGTGCATCTGTAGGGAAATGTAGAAAATTTTAATACTATATAAAACTTATATTGACAAATTAATTGTTAGTTATTTAAAATAAAAAAATCACGTCAATATGTTAAAGAGAAAAATAAAAGCACACACCCATTATATTTTTATATATAATAACAATAATACTAATTAATATCTTATTCTGGAACTAGTGTGAGTCTCATACTTTATACAGAACCTAAAAAATGAAACATTTGAAACTGTCAGAGTTTAAGTCTGTGTAAATATAAAAAGCATTTTTATGAGAGTTATCTTTAATTGGACCTAATAATATTTACATATGATTCTTTCAGATAACTGAATTAAAAAAATGAAAAATTATTTATAGCTTAATAATGTAATTTATTTTAATTTTTGTATTATATAGAGATGAGAGAATAATCCTTTCCTTGTTTTAAAATGTCACGTGGCATTTTTGGACTATGAATATTTGGGCTACTATGATATGAATTAGTTTAAAATGGAAGAACAAGGTTGGGATATACTCACCTCATCTCAAATTATGAGATAATTTAGAATAAGATTATGCATACCAATGAAATACAATAATGATATTTTAAAAACTTACTTTTCATAATAAAATTATAAACTTTTAAAAATATCCTCACATACTCAATCATTATATTACAATATTATTTTAATTCTCTCTTCACACTTGAAGATATTGCCGATTTATCATACTCCTTTCATGCCAAATTATAAAACAATTTTAAAAAAAAAATTGCCTCAAAATATAGGATAAATTAAAATAAAATAAAATTTTATTAACCATACTCTTTCACCTAAACAATACATTTTATAAATGCATTGTTTTGACTTCGAGGACAGAAAAGTTGAGTCGCGTATTTCCGTGCCAATATATGCTTCAAAATTAAGGAGCTAACAAGAGAAGAGTTGAAGGAGAAAGAGAGAAGGAAAAAAGTAGAGCTAAAGGAAAAATAAAAAGAGAAAAGAAAGAGAGAGAAGCACCAGAGGAAGGAGGAAGAAAAGAGGAGGAGAGAACAGAGGGAAAAGGAGAACAAGAGACGGGCACAGGAGAAGATGAAAAGGAAGCAAGAGAAGGCAAAGAAAAAACGCCAGGATATCCAGTGAAAGGAAAAGGGAAAGGAGGAGGAAATGAAGCGTAACACCAAGTAATTGACCCTAACACGTCAAATCACTTTAGGTTTGCATTAGTATTGCCTTTTCAAGTCCTGCCACAAATGAAGGTTCAAACACTCTTGACTTGCTTCACAAGCTCAAACACTACTCAAATCACGCAATTCTTTTTACCCGGAGTCTACTTTGTTTCAGGAGGAACAGATTTATCATTCTGGCGCTGATTTTTTTTTTTTAATATCATGTAGTTTTTTTTATCAAATGTAATGGTATACAGTAGTGTAATGATTTTTGTTATGACATTTTTATATATACATAGGAAGCCATGTTGAAATTGCGTATTGGCACTGTTTTTGGATGATTTTTCTATTATATATAAATAATATATATCATGAGTCATGACATGTATATGCGAGCTACTGATATGATATGATATGATATCTTAATTGTTTTTCTAATTTTCTTAGAGCATGGTAGAAAACGAGCATGATTAAACCGCACACTTGCTGGCGGATTAGCAGCGTGAAACACCCACACACTTGGCTTGAAATTCCCTATGAATAATAATCAACGCGCTCTCCAAATTCAGATACAAGGAAACTGGAAAGAATCAATCAGCCGGCTTTGCGAATAAACATGAGCTCACCAACGCTGGCTGCGACCCTTGAGCTAACTTCAGGAAATTACATATAGATATGATTTACACTCAATATAGCAACGAGATATTGGAAATATTGCTGTTCCATGTGGATAAAAAGCTTAGGCATGGGATTAGAACAACTGGTTAACGAAACATGTTACGGCACTTACAAGGCAGCTTTTGCTCGAGTTTCTTTAGCCGCTCGAGAAGCATTTAACCTTCTAATTTAATTACCTTGCGAAGTTCTTCAATCAACTTCGCCCGCCTTGGTGGCTCCAACTACAAGAGATTAAAAACAAAAATACCACCATGTTTCAGGAGATAAGAAACAAATTGCAAATTAGAAAAGACACAAGAAAATAACAATAATACCTTGCTTAAAAGAGCAGAAAATCCTTGAGGTAACGCTTGCAGCTCCAAAGCCGAGTCTCCAATACTAGTCAATTGAAGCATCAGCTTCTGAGCGCGTAATGCTTTTAGTTTATCCTCGTAATTACTAGGTTCCTTCTTCCATCTAAAGAAACTTTCATCGTCCAACCAAGCATCTTCACCTCTGGAGATATCAGAACTCAGATACCAATTTTTTACCAAGCCCATTGCAGATTCATGTGACAGTTGATCACCAGCTGCATCTCTCACACTGTTGATCAGTGAATGTTCACCAATTCTCCTACGCAATCTCCGGTAGAAGAAAGAACGGGACTTGCTCCAATCCAGGACTTCTCTTATTACACCCTTGGCAGCCATTCGTAAGGATGTGTCATGTAATTCAGCAAATTTGGTGGCTATCTGTGTGTACACCGGCAAAAGTTGCTTCTCGCGGGAGTTGATTTGCTGCTGTAAGGATTCAATTCTCCCGAGGGCCCTACTAGTCTTTGCATCCTGAAGTTTTGCCTTCAAATTAATCAGTTGTTGATCAAGCCTGCCCATGCACTCCAACAATTCCTTTGTCCTGAATTTGATCTCAACCATCCCTTCTGGTTCCAAGACATTGCCTTTAGCTGTTTGATCAGCATACATTTCAATGTGATTCGAATTGATTTTACTGTCCACAACAACCCATGCCCCACCACGGAGTTCACCCAACATTGGGAGATATACAAATATGGGTTGCTTGTACGTTCTCAGGTTCTCCACAATGGTTGATCCAGCTTGAAGAATTCCTTCAAAAAGGTCCCTTTGGCCCCCAGAAAACCCTCTCCAATTAGCAAGAATGAATAGTGGGAGCTCCTCTCTGTTGAAATCCAATATTGCTTGGGCTGTCTTGGTTGCAGAATCAGGAAACCATACTTGCCCTGCTTGAGGAACCACTCTTTCATGAGAATCAAGTTGCCCCGGATCGGCCGGTATTACTTGCATCATTGTTTGTGTTTCAACAGCAACAATTCCTACAGGGATTCCTCCAAGTTTTGCTCTTCCAGTAACAACTGTCCTTGCCCATCCAGCTAGTGTCTCCACAAAGCTATCCTTGTCAAATATACCCCCTAGCCATCTTCCCTTACTGCCTAGAGTACCAGAAATGGCAGCACGAGGATCACATGAGTTTTCAGGGAAATACTCCACGGGCCTTTCTGGAGGATCCATGGGTTGCATAATGGGTAGAGTACCGCCTACACAAGAAGGAATGTAGCTAAGCCACTTCAAAATAGCAGAAATGCCTTCAAGATCATCAGAAACAGTAAGATGGACAACTCCATTTGTTGCCATGATTTTAGGTCCACCTAGCTGCATGTGAGAGCTGTACACCTCCCGACCAAGAAGCTTGTTTAATGCAGAAAAACCTGTAAGAATTATGGGTTGATCAAGCCTCTGAATGCATCTCATGCCAAGTCTGGCAAGATAAGCACCTATTCCAACAGTCCTTCCAGTCACATATGTTAAGGTAAAAGTTTCTTTGTATGCCCTAGAATAGGCACCAGCAATGCCCCCACTGCCACTCAAGTTTTCAACCCCCAGACCATCCTCTTCTCCAACAACGGTATCTATAACCCATCTAGTTTCTCCAGTCTCCAGCTTTAACTCGTGTGTTATCACTGATGATCCGATCCGAGCATAATCCTCTGGCGTCAAATATACATATTGAAAACCATGCTCTGGATTAGATTCATCAGACCAACCAACTTTGAAACAAGCTTTAACTTCCTCAGCCACACCTAAACGAGCACCAGAATTTGCTGCTAGGTAAATTAAAGGTAGTTTTTTTGCACATGCAAGATCAGTTACAGCATGGAAGAATGCATCCTCTCTTGGGCCAAAAGAACCGGCCTTGAAGGTTACATCATTTGCTACAACCAATATTGTCCTTCCAGATGGAAACTCAGGGGTGCGCATTTCCATAAACCAGGCTACCATACCAACGTCATTAAGTCCAGGTGGATGCTCCACAGGAACCAGCGGCGCACCCCAACTACCTTCTTTATCAACAAATTTAAGCTCTGTTGCTTTTAGAAGATCCTTATCTTTGGCTTTTTGAAATCCGTGGTGTTGGATTGCCCATAGCTGTTCCAAGGCCGTTTCAAATGCCTGCAAGTAACATATCTCCTCAGGAAATATAGTTTGCTTTTCAAGGTGCAAACACACAAAGATACCATTAGAAAACTAAATCTAAACTAAATTAGAGAGAGAGAGAGAACTGACTAGTGGAAAATCATAGCAGTATGTGGTGTTGTTCTTCCTTGCTAAAAGACGTTTTCGGTCAATGATCCCCAAAGGTTGATAGTTTTCATTCACTGGTACATCATGCAAAGGACCTTTTCCGTTGATTGACCTGTATGCAACTTTATGAGTGCTTTTCTCCTCCGCTTCTCTGTATATCTGAAAAAATATATATATATATATTGAAATTTAATCATGATTTATGGACCATCTTTGTTCATAATAATTCTAAATCCGAAAGTAATATGCCAATCAGGTATCTATATTTAAAAATAGGAAAACCTAGTTTGTCGTCGTCTTTTTTTCAGGCACATAATTAGAATTTTGCTAGGCATCCCAATTGTTCTAACTGTTTACACTTTTGTGATGAGGAAGGACCTATACCTAGCATGCTTTCTGAAAGGAACCTTTAACCATAATTGACTAAACTGTCGATAAAACGGCAACATGTAGGGAGCTATCCTTGAATTTTTCCCCCTTTTTTATAAAGAGAAAATACTTACATGTACGGTGCAAGTATGACCAGTAACATTTGTTACAACGACCCTCCAAGCACCGTTTGCTTGTCCAGAGGATGCTATACAGAGCTTAACTTCCCACTCTGCAACCCCTAATCTATGCATTCTAACGCCAACGGATGAATGGATCTCATATGCCAATTCTTTCAAGATTGACTCAACAGCTGCTTCTTCTTGACTAGCATCCACGTTAATCCTCCTGGCAACAACATCCAAAATTTAAGACAGAGTTAAAAAGATTTTCCCTTGTGCTAGAAGAATAGGTTGTGCCATCACCATAAGTACCTGGAATAAAGCAGAATATCATCTATTTGTTGCTCTCGTATGATATGGAGATACATATGAGCATTTTCAGATTTGACAGTGGTGTTGTGTGCATTAAGTTCCAATTCCTCCATTGCAGCCATCAAGGATCTCAAAATGCTCCTTGAAGTAAGAGGCATATCCTTTTGAGCATTCAATGTTTCCATAACTAGCCCTTGACCTGACAAATCTTCATTTGTAGTTGGTTGTCTTACTAGTGTTCGAAGAAACGTTCTTTGAAATGAATGTGGCCTAGGATCTACAACTGTGTACAAATGCCATTGACGATCTCGGGATGGGGTATACTTTATATTCTCATAGCCTTTAAGTTTGTCCTGTAACCATATACATGTTAATGACCTTAAGACCAAGCACACAAGTGAAATTTTCAATATTCTATCCTTTTAAAGTGAAACACAAGATTTGAACCCTGAAGTTATTAAACTAACCAATTCAAGATAAACGGATAAGGGAGGTTCCAAATAACGCAACAGAGGCTCCTCCTCATAACAGATCTTTTCTTCAGACCAGTGAAACGAGTGTCTCATTGGGGCTCGCCCTTCATCCCTCTGTATAATGCAACTGATTACTCCCACACCTACAGCGTGTATAGCTGATCCTACTTCCTGTTCTTTGAGCAATTTGGCTAACTTATTAGTCCTTTCTTGAGCTTGGTCCTCATCACCACTGCAAAGAATCCAAGATGGCACTTGTATAAAACTTATTAGAGATTATCATCTCTGGATAAAAATAAAATTAAAAAATAAGTCAATTTTTCAGCGAGTCTAAAAATCCAAAACAAACTATAAACTATATCATTGTTGATCTTTGAGCAAAATCAAAGAATTGTTCAATTACTTATGGTTGAAAGTAAGTATTTGTTTAATATATCGTACCTATCTTGTAGTAATCTCATCTGATTGTTGATGCCCACCAATGCTATATGCATCATATTACCATAGTCATTAATAGCTTCAGTAGAGCCTTTAGGAAGTGTTTTGTGAAAGTTATGGGTAGCTTCCTTCAATGCAGCACCAACAATTGTAGGCAAAAATTGAAGAGATTTGACTATAACCATTGCTCCCCATTTTCCCTTGCCTCGATTTTCTACTAATATTTTATTGGACCTTTGGTCTTCAGATGCGCTCTTCCTTTCAACATACTCTTCCAAAAACTCCCAGGAGGCAATAAGGCCAGACTTGTGCCATTGCATCCTAACACTCTCTTTTACAAGATATGGCTGATAAAAGATGCTATAAGTTAAAAAAAAAAAAAAACGAACATTGTTGCCTGGCAATTTAAAGAAGATGAAAAGGAATAAAATAATAGCACAAAATAAACTCATATACCTGGTACAACCTACGGACATAAGTTTCCACAACCCGCCTTTGAAGGGTGTGATCACTGTGATCAAACAAACCCACAAGGGCATCTTCTACTGCCAAAGGAGCACTCACAATGTCCTCCATTCGATCATTAATGGCACTCTTCCTCTTGGGAGTATCAATATTTTCACCATCTTCAGTGAACATCTCCAGTTCTGAAAGACTCCTAGCTATGCTGGAACGAAGTTCACTTAATTTTGTTTGTTCTAGAAGTTGACTTGCCTTAAGAGCTAACTGCATCATGAAAATAGGGTGTCAGGATGACATAAACAACTATATTGGAAAGACAGATGCTTGTTCCCCCTCAGCAAGGGACATTATGACCCCTAAAAGTACCATACGATGAAGAATGATTTGGGAAGATAATAGGGTGTCAAATTCTTTGCCATATTTTCCCTCCATTAATTCTCTTTGTGGGGAAGGGAAGAAGAGGTATCACACCAATTTGTTTTTGTAAGACCAAAGTATCTTGAGATTTTGTCCAAACCTCAGAATAATTTGTATGGTTGAGTGATGAGAAACGGATCAACTGATCCCTGTAGCCAGCAGGGTTAGGGTACACTAGTTGTTCCATTAGCTGCAGTATCAACTTATTTTTATTCTTCATGCCCTGAAATCCAAGAAATAAAATTAACATAGTTGAAAGAAAGAGAAGTACTCGGGATGGATATTTAATAAGAGTTTATACCTGATGGGAGAGTACTACATCCACAACCTTCAATAGATCTTTCTGATATTGAAGGCGGAGTCGTTCAATTACGTCAGCCTGGAAAGAGGGTGGAGTAGGAAGATAGAAGGTTATGGATATTCAAAATAATTAAATGAAAACTCAAACAATATTTATATCATAAGTTACTTGATCACTTCCTAATTTAGTTTGTGGTATTTTAACACAAATAGAGCATACGTATAACTTGCTAGTTTTTGAACTAGGGAAACTACTAAGCTCAACTACCACTGATAATTGCTTCTTTCTTTTAAGATTCCTTAGAAAGACCAGTCTGGCAAGAAGAAGGGAGGAATGAAAAAAAGAACATCCTGGATTTACATTTTCATTTCAAGTCCTAATAGCTCGGTCAACTTCATAACTACTTAAATTATCCAGATAATTAGTAGTGGCACTGCATTAATCAAACTAACCTGTATGTTATCGTTAAATAGTTCTTCAACAGAAAGATACTCTTCAAAAAGGGATTGAACAATTATTCGAGCATGGCTCTCTCTCCCACCCTCATAAGACTTCACTAGACTCATTAAAGGTTCAACAATCCTTTCTTGTGATTCCTTTTCTTTGTCACGATGGGAGGAAAGGTGAGCCTGCAATGTAATCACACCTTATGAGTATATTCATGCTAAAATGGGAGAAATTAGAGTAAGGAAGTCCAAAGCTTTAACTCACTTCAAGAATGCCCTTCAATAATTTGGCGGGAAAATCAACATTTTGGGAGCTTGATATCCTCTCGAACTCCTTATATTTTGATTCCAACTGACAAATTGCAAAGTTCAAGGCTAACTCAGGTTAATGTTTTCGTATTAAAACAAGGAGATTGCCAGAAGGGTGTCTCATCACCTCGTTTTTTAGATCTTTTGGAAGACGGTTTGCCAAAACAGAAAAGCATTCTTGCCATTGAAGAAAAGGTAATTCAGGACTGTCAAGGCAATTGAGCAAATTTTGCACAACCTGAGACAGATGTCAAACTCATTGATAAGAGAACCATACAAAAAAACTAAAGTATCAATACAAGCAATGGGTTCATGAAAGATGAATTACAACAAGCTATAAATATTGTTACAATCTGGTGTTAATGGAGCTCACATCATCAATTTTGTGCTCATAGCCAGCTAGAATCATCCGTGCTGCATTTAAACTTGCAGCACACCTCTGATGAACTCTATCAGAAATTGCAGTAGGAGAACCCAGAACTGGGAAACCCCCATGGAAGGGTTCTGCTTTTCGTACTGCTGATGGATCATCTAGATCAAGCCTTGCTATGAGCTCCCCAGCCTACAAAGAAAAATACTTTCTTAAAACTGGTTGTGATTAAAACAATTGATACTTCTATTTGCAACATCATATACCTGCATCGGTTGGCCTTCAGATATTTTGAAATGAATAACCCCAGAAGCTGGTGAAAGAAGAGGCATACACATCTTCATGACCTCAACTTCAGCATATGGTGTGCTAGCATCAATATGACTAGCGTCGGTCACCAAAAATCTTAGAAGTTTGCATGGAGTCTCGGCAACCAACTTTGATGGATCATGATCATTCTGCATATAAAATATGTTTAGAAATTCTCCTTAGCCACAAGAAAACTCAAAGTAGAACCTAAGGATAAAAATGAACGGATTTTACCTGAAGCAAACAAGTCCTCCCATCTATTAGAAGGCGAGTTCCAGCTGCTTCTTCCTCAGCATATATCACATGACTGTTCCCATCCAACTGTAGAAAGTAGAAGCTAGTGGTTAAGAATTTTAGCAATCAAAAGTGGAAGAAAGGTTAATCATCTAAGAAGAATAGACACTATAAGCTAAAATATCCGTTTAAATGCAAAGTATAAAAATCCAATAGTCCAATTGCAAACTATGCAATTATTAGGATCTTCGTATTAAAAACTGTAACCAATATATTGAAATTTTGGCTTCCACAAGAACATTAAATTATTTAAAAAGCATGAAACACTATCAATAACCCAAATAATAAGCGTAAGTAACAAACTAAAGAAGAAATGTAGAATGACAAGCGGTGGAAGTTTAGAGAATGATTACTTGCCTGCATCAACAAACCTCCATCACGTAAAGTATGTATCTCTGCTTCTATCTCTGATTCATTCATTCTCAATCTGTAACTTCCTGGCCCACCTCTTGACATGTTAATCTAGACATTGTTTTTAATAGATGTTAATTTAAAAAATTTGGGTAGGACTTATGCTGGAGAAAATCTCCCAAAATCCATGAAACTACAGAAAATATACCATTAGATTGACATTTATAATAATACATACCATATATTTGCTTCCTTCAATGTTCAAGGACACTTGTGAGTGGACAAGAGATATGTGCTGAGATCATTATAAAGTAAATCAATATCCCTAGAAAACAAGAGTTAAATGAAGTTATGAACTAATGATTCTCTGAACTAAGCACAATACCTTAGGAGGGATTTGTCCTTTTTCAAGATAACCAACATAATCTGAAACCAAGGCTGCACTGATAGTAGAAGCTTTCTGCATGCCGTAGAGCACAAATCATGAGATTACCAGGGGCAAAAAAGAGCATAGATCATTCACCCTACAATATAAAACCTTAAAAAAGGTAAAGCTATAGAAAAATAAGTTTGCTTACAAAAAGTGCCCCTCCAACAACAGAAAGATACCAACGAGGCCTTTCTGCTCTAACTCGCATTGCAATTCTACCATCCAGCCATCCTGTGTGAATTTTGTTTTCTCTGTAGTCTGAAGCCTGAGACCAAATATTGTAGAATTGTTACTTCTATATTTCTAAAGCTCTTTTTGTATAAGTTGTCAGCATGAGCCTCTCACATTTAGAAGATCGATGGTATAGTCAACATTGGTGCGAATTTCTCCCCGAATTTGAATCTCCTTCAGTCCTAGAACCATATTTGCAATAGCTAAAGCCCTAGATTCTCCAAATGCAAAAACATGTCCTGTGGCCCAAGATAAGGATATTAGAAGCTTATAGAAGATAAGTTATTCTAAGGGACTTTTGTAATATACGTAAGAAAGTAACACATATTTCAATACTTTCTAGCTCAAAACTCTCCAACAATCCTAGCTCTTGTTCTACTATTTTCCGGGATCATGTTTATGGGGTTAAGCATGTTTCTCATGACAAAATTGTGCGATCAATAGTTAAGACTTACCAAATTGAGAATCTGAGAATTCATGAATTCCTCCGCCAGACTGCAATCATACAAGCCAAAAAGAAAGAAGAAGAAGAAGAAGAAGAAGAAGAAAGTAAGCCCCTTGAATTGAAGTCAGACCCATATGCAAAGGAACAATGAAACTTACCTTAACAGAGAAGTAAGCCCACACATTTGGCTTGCTTTTGAAGCTCAGCTCCTGCGCAAATAATTGCAACTCAATATAATCTATGGAAGAGAACAAATAATGCTTGAGATCACTGAAGAACTCAGTAACTTGCCTGCACTTTTCCACTAGTGGGCTTAAACCCATCATCAGGATCCTCACTAGTCACTCGCACAGCCACACAGTGACCTTTTGGCCTTGTAGATTCCGCTTTGTCAAAATCAAAAGGTGTGGCTAAAACCGATGTTTTCCTCCAAGCATTATATCCTCCACCATGTTCCATCCCATAGAATCGCCTTATCTCTGTTAAAGGAGGAAAGTGAAAGGCAGGTGTACAGGCCAAATCACTGAGAAAACAACAAAAAATAAAACAAACTATAATGAGTTATTAATCATTTGTACCAGGAATTTGCCAGAGGGGAATACCCATCCCAACAGATACTTGTGCTGCAGGCAGATTCACCTCTGCTATCCACTCAGTAACTGGGTGTTCAACCTATATAAGAATCAAAGATAGAATAATCAGTCACATTGAAAAAAGGCAAAAAAGAAGAAAGAAAAAGAAAAGACAGCAACCAGAAAAATAAATTGAAAAAAATATGATACAATACACAGTAAGACCTAACACTTGGCATTACTCCAAGCATTGTATCAAAACATGCCCAATAATATAAAGAAGAGTTATCTGTGAGTAATTTTGCTAAACCCAAATGGTTTGGTTGTTACAAAATATCTTAAGCATTATTTGAAAGAATTTTACGCTTCCACGTCCATTTGACAAGCTGATTCCAACTAACATAATAATCATTACCCATGAAAAACCAAATTCAATAAGACAATGGATCAGCTCATAAAAGTGAAGCTAAACATTTTACAACACCTGTAGCCTGGGATTCAGCTCTAGAAAGTAGAACTCGCCAGTATCCATACTATATAGATACTCAACAGTAGCAGCCCCGACATAATTTACACTTTTAGCCAATCTTCTAGCTGCCTGTTCCAGTTTTTTCACTGTCTCCAAAGGAGCTACAGTAATTGGTCCCTCCTCAATAATCTATTTACAAAAGAGTGATTAAATCATTTACAAAATTTTCTTAACCACAGCAATTTGGTGGGATAAATGAAAGTGGAAACAATCGTCTTACCTTTTGGTGCCTCCTTTGCACACTACAATCACGGCTATGCAAAGCCGCGACATTTCCATACTGATCACAAAGCAATTGGACTTCCAAATGCCGGCTCTAATTAGAAATAAAAAATATCATCAGAATATGATCAAGACCCCAAGAGCCAAGGTTCATCTGAGAGTTAAGAGGTTTATCTAACCTGGGATGCCACCTTCATTATAAATATGGGTGAGCCTGGAACTTCACCTTGAACTTGCTTGAACAGTGCCCTGACCTCATCATCATTATGAACCTATAGTATCCGCATGGATGTTAATTTTTAAATTTTGCTGAAAAAGTAGAGGGTCGAAACAAAGTTCCTTAGCTTTATAGGAATTTAATCTAGCAGAATGATTGAAAATAATTTATATACTCAGGACAAAATTAGTTTGCAATATCAGCTGCAAGAATGATGTGAAGTTGTCAGGAAGCAAACCTTCCTTATGCCTTTACCACCACCCCCCCAAGATGCCTTGATCATAGCAGGGTAACCAACAACTTGACAACTTGCAATTGCTTCCTCGGTTGAATAGACACATGCTTCTCGGTAAATATCATCAGGAATAGTAACCAAGTTACTCCCGGATGGAACTTTCACCTTTCAAAAGAAACTTTAAGTTATAAAAAGTTGGACATCCGTTAGTAAAGGCATCACTGCAGCTGAAGACTGAAAATTACATGAGAACCACTCCATGGAAGGGTTGGCACTTTTGCTGCTTGAGCAATCAATGAGGAACCAATTTTATCTCCCAATGCAGCCATGGATATGGAAGGAGGTCCGAGAAATACAATTCCCTTTGCATTCAATGCTTCAGGAAGTTCAGGATTTTCTGATGCGTGACCCCAACCAGGCCAAACTGCATCAACGTGAGTTATCTCCGCCATCTTGAAGTATATTGCATACAAGTTAGCTTTTTTTTTTTTTTTGGCCAAAAATACAAGTTAGCTGACATTAGAAGTTATATCATGTCACAAGAATTTATTACTACATAAGCAACTAGGATCACCATAATGAGCAGTGCAAGTTACAGTAAACCTTAGGTAATATGAAATAATAGCAGCTGACTGGAACAACTCATGCATCAGATTTGTATATCTCATGTTTTGGGAAGTAGACATTCCTAAAGCTCCTTGTCTACTCTCCGAAACTTCATGATGCTAATAATGTTCATCAATCTTTTAGAAAAATCTGGACGTGTTTTTTCTTCATGAAGACCTTAGAATTGACAGGTTTCGAAAATTGAAACTCCCACCACATTCCATGACAACATCTTCATTTTGCGCAAATTTTTACAAACAAAATTTAAATGTCCGGAACCTCACAAAATAAACCTGCACTCACCTCTACAATAAGCTGCACATTGGCATAGTTATTGTTATTGGTGCCACCAGGTACTTCCACAAATTGATCGGCCATTCTGATATGTTCTGCGTTGATTCTCATGTCCTCCGGAGTAGCCATTGCTATCAACAAGATAGCCTTCTCTGATCCAAATGTCTCATAGGCCCAGCTCCTAACACTGCGTATAAATTTGACGGCTGCCATTCCATTGTTCGCGATCAGTATGCTATGAATTGGCTTATCCCCCCCAAGGCTGCGGCAGAACTCGTCCACTTCAGATATTGCTGCAGGATGCCTATTTGGCACAACACCATTCATGCACACATTTCCACGCTCAAGGCCGGCCATTGTTCCGCTTCTCCGTGCTTCCTGCGCATTGCATAATCACAAGAAGATTAACGGCAGCTCGGGAGAAGCCATTTTTTTATCACGTCAATTGATTTGTGCGTTTATTAACTAACAGAATTCACAGATATCAATCTTCATAAATTCAAACTCCGAATTGTCGAGACATAAAGAAGGGTCAATTCATTCAAGAGAACCCGGGGTCCAACTACAAATTTAATTAGGAACGCGTTGTTGCTGGATGGAACTTCCAAAATATGAGGAACCGAACACAGCCCAGTTCGGTGTCTCAGATGCAGTTAAGCGTGAACATGGAATGCGGCGAAGAAAGACATTGCCCACTGAGATAATTCACAACGTTGTAATCAGCAAATCTCTAGACGCCGACGGTGGAAATTTAGATTCCCACACGGCCGCGCCCATGAGAGTACAGTATAAATAATAAAAGGGGCAATAAGTAGAAATGGGCTACGAACCTTGGGAAAGAGCTACAGAAGGTGGAAAGTGCGCGGAGAGTTGATAGAATTTGGGGAAGGTTTTTCAAGCATCAGGAGGACTTAATTCAGAGAATGTGGAGGTGCATGAGTGAATGGTGATAGTGCAGAGGGCAGAGCAGGAGTGGATTAAGAAAGTTGTGGAGTGGTAGGTTTGGTTTGCAGAAGGTGGGTATCCTTTGAAGTTATAACGGCTTAAATGAAAGCAGTACGTATGTGGGGTACGATGCCGGATCCCCAACAGACTCTAGTTGCACTGGCAGTGGTAGTTCCCAGCTACCCCATCAACTGTCAACTGATCCCTTCCAATTCCTCCAGGGGCAACAAAAAGTAAAAAAGCTAATATTTTTATGAATTGTTTTTGTCTTTTGTTATGTTTTCACATGCACCGGGAATGGAAAGACACGTCGATCGAAGTACCCCATTTCCTTGCTTTATGGATATGCATGAGCGAATTTTGGGAACGAGTGACACCTTCCCGAAGAAACAATATCACCTGAAACAGTATATATGTATATATAATATGCTGATAAATCGTGCTCTTCGATCCTCCCTTCCTTGATTTACTCCCTCGTCCTTGTTATTATTAGTATAGTTGTCAAACTCTTAAATTTAATTGTTTGAATTTATTATTTTTATATTTTTAATTTATCAAATTATATTAATTTGCTCATAAAATTATATTAGATGAAATTTAGATAAATTCATGAGTTAAACTAGATGTAATAGATTAAACTTGTTAAATTTATTAATTTTTAATTGAGTTAAAAAAATTATGTATATATTATGTAGAACTCGTTTCATAGAAGCGATAACACACGGTTAAAAAATAAAACTAAAAAAATTAATATTAATAAAAAAATAATAAAAATAAGTTGCTTTATTTTAAAATTTTTATATTGAGTATGATAATCTATCGATATAAAAAAATTTAATTTCAATAATTTATATTTAATTTAAAATATATTTAAATTAAATTATGATTATATATATTTTATATTTTAATTATTTAATTATATAATTTGAATTATTATTTATTAATAAAAGTAAACTCTCATCAGTTTACAATTTAAATTTATATTTCTATCACAAATTTATTTAAACTTGCTAATTTAACAACCTTAGTTACAAGGCTTTTAAACTACTTCTAGAATTTGTGTTTAAGTTATTAATTCTATTTTAATGCAAAATAGACTTCTAATTTTATTTTTATTTAAATAAATTTTTTCAAATTTTCATCATATCATCTCTCGTAATTAATAAATTTAAATAGATCAATGTTAAAAAAAACATAATTAATATCTATTAAATATCTTGTATTAAAAATTTAAAAAAAAAATCCTTCCGATAAGACAAGAGGAAGTATATATTTATTTATGTATATTTATATTTTATGTATAATATAAATATTCCGATAAATCATGTCCTTCGTTCCTTATTATGTATTCTAATATTAAAATATACATATATAAATTAAGGTATCAAATCTATATACTCACCTTATTAATTTATAATATTTTTTTATAGAATTACACTTATCAATAAATTTTATTAAATATAATTTTAAATTTTAAAGTTTATATAAATTTTAAAAATACCCTTCATTATTAGTGAGAGGGAATGAAATATATTTAAGAAGTGAAATAATTAAAAATAATATTGGAATAATCATTAAAAATAAAATCTTATTTGTTTTAAAATATCTTATATTTTAAAATAATAAATCACCTCAAAATATTTTTAAAAATGGGACAAGTAGTGGCAAAGCCAATACCTTACCAGGAGGTGCAGATTAACTTTAAAAATAATAATTCAAAAATAATTTTTTAATATTTTTTTAAAATAATCATATATTTTATAATTATCCCCTACTTATTATCAAATGTTATTAAAAATGTTTTCTTCCGTATAAGTCACTAATTTATGATATTAAAAATATATAATAATTAACTAGAGATTTTAAAAAAATTAAATAAATAAGTACATTCTTTTCTAAAAATTATATTAGAGTTTTAGACTTAGTGAATTCATAACTGGACTTAAATTAAAATATTTACAAAAATAAGGGCCTAGATTTGAAGAGGTTCAAAATTTTGTTACTAGAGAAGGTAAAATATCAAAATATCTACTACTCATTTGTAATTTCTCCCAAGTTGAGGGGGTGCGTATGTCTAACATCTTAAAAAATTTAACTTAGGGATAATTGAATAATTAAGGATAAATTAAACAATTGAGAGTTAACTTGGATTAAAATGTAATGTACAAATGGCTAATAGGTATACCGAATCCTAATTAGGACTTAGAATTAGACCCTAACTGGTATTGGGCCACATTAGGCCCAATTAAATAAATAGTGTTCAGAATCTGGAATTCTAACCTTTGGTTGTAGCCAAAATTTGATTTTTAAGTCTTCAAATTCACATTTTAGATCAAAAAATTAGAATTTTGAGTGGGAGTCCGAAGGTAAATGAAGAGGGCTCTGCTAGAATTTGCTGTAAATATTTAATTGAGTCTATTTAGAGCTTCTAATCACTTAGGTAAGTACTTATAATGTATTATTTTCCTCTCATGCATTATCATCGTGGTTTTTGGGTAGTTATTTGAGAATTCAAAAATGAGTTGTGAGTTTGCCTAAAATTCTAATTTTAATGGGATTAATGAATCTTTATTTAAGTATATCTAACCTTTGGGTTATAATGTTAATAATGTTTTAGAATTTTAAAGTGAGGTTTAGAGTAAACTCTAGAGTTAATTAGTTAAGTTAAGAAAGTTATGAGTTATTAATAGTGTTGATTAGACTAATGAGAGTCTAAGTGAATTAATGAAACCTAAAAAAATGAATTTGATTGTGGGTAGATGATCACAATAGAATTTTTGGGCTTATGCTTTGATTAGAGTCAATTAAGGATAATTAGTCATTAATGACTATTAGTATATTTGATTGCATATTGATCATTGTTGGTGCTATTAAGCTTATTGGAAGCTCCATTTAATATTCATAGGTACTCTTGATAGGTAAACCAAAAATTTTAATTATTGTATATCATAGCATTTGTAACTGTAAGTATGCTAAATTATCATTGTCTTGATATGGGTAATATAACATGTCGGTTAATATGTTGACTTTGAGTTAATGTTATACAATAAACATGCCTAATAGTGATAAAGATATTTTATGGTTATGTGATAATCTGTAAGTTTTGTTTATAAATGTGTTGAGTTATTAAGATATGTATAAGTATATATTTGCATATGTTGATTGAACTTGTATGATCATGAGGGGTGGGAGTTTACCCTAAAATAGTAAAAAATTAAAATGGTAAATCCATGTGGTATGGCCTTCACTAAGTTTGCGCACAGTGATTAGCATATTTCATTACTATATATACTTAATATTGCCAACAAGCTATAGTTGTGGCATGGATCGAGCATAATGCTTAGTATTATTGATCTTGAATTGGATGATATGGGTCGAGCACTCATGACACTTTGAAATTCAAGTACGGGGAACCCATAGTTCCAAAGTTGAGAGTTTTATTGATTTGCTTGCTTTGCTTGTTTTTCTTGTTGATTACCAGATAAGGGATGGGGGGATATTTATAGACTTCCCTCTTGATCTAGAGTTTTTTCACCTTCTTAATAGATAGTGGAGGTTAATCCAATTTTATGGTATACATCTATCATTTGGAATATTCTATAGAAATATTTACAAAAAATATCTAATATTTATAAGGATATTTTTAGACTAATCTTTAAAATGTGTGTGGAGTACGCTATAATATCTTAAAATATCTTAGAATATTCTAAACATCTCCACATCCATTCGTAAGCTTTTACAATTGAATGAATCAAATTTTCTAGTTCCAAGCATTTCCTAACGAGTTGGTAGGCAATGTAAGTAACTGACCTTTTTCTTTTATTTCAGTTTTTTTGTTCTGATGACAAAGTAGCCAACCCACCCTTCTTCCCTAATAGAACTAGAATTAGTGCTAAGCACTCTAATAAGTCCTGGGCTATCTAAATTTTAATCAGGATGATTTATAATTAAGGGATTATTTTTTATTTCATTTTATTAAAATAAAAAATTTATTTTGTTATTAATTTGGATAATATATAACAGTATTGCTTATATTAGTGCTAAGATAGATTTATTAAAATTTTTATTCATAAAAAATATAATTTCTATTTTAATAAAAAAATAAAACATTTTGGACCATCTATATCAAAATGTAGATGATCCAAATCTAAGCACCTCGATGAGCACCACGGGTGCTTAGCAATTAGCACCAAAATTAATTCCCTTCCCTAACAGTTGGAAACGATAACATGCTAATTTTTCTCGTGAGATAATGTTATATAGACAGAAAGATTTTTTTTCCCCTTACCTTCTATTTTTCGCATCTGCTATTTGTTTCTTTTTCAAAAGAAAAAATAATAATCTAAATCACCAATTATCACAGATAAGTCAACAGCCATCAACTTAACCTTGTACATAATTTCGACAGCCCCTTCCCATTGAGAGGTGGGCGAGGGAAAAACAGATCAGTGGGAGTTTACTAGTGATTGATTAGAAAAGACAGCGATTTTGTTTTTTTTTTTTTTTTTTTGGCCTGAATGATTGAAAGGGGCATGGACAAGAAAAAGAAGGACTTTAATTGAATATATGGGATTAGGTTCTGGTTGGGAGTTAGCTAGGTTAAGCGTATAGCTAGTATTCATGGCAGCGTTACCTATCTGTCTTCTATCATTGACTGGTTATGATTTGATTCATGAAGGAGGAAACGAGGCAACGGAAGACAGGCACGAAGACGAAACTCTTCACTCGACACACCCATGTTTCCAAATGATAATAATTACGTGCATCAATCAGCAAATAACGATCGACAATGGCGACTTCATAAACTTTTTCGAATTCGCTCAAGGGCTTAATTAGATCCACTTCGACCGATCCACTATATATATATACACATACATATCAACCAGTGCAGTGATAGAGTGTACGGAAAGGATTTTGCTTTCTTTTTACAGGGAATATTACATAGCTAACTTGATGGTCCTGGCGACATCATGTGGTGTGCCGTTACTAGCGACTAAGTTAATTTAATTAATGGAATTATTGTGACCTTGTATACGCATTTCTTGATTGGTTAAGTAGGGAAGTTGGTGCGC